TATCATCTATCTATCTATATCTATCTATCTATATCTATCTATCATCTGTGTCATCTATCTATCTATCATCTATCTATCTATCATCTATCATCTATCTATCATCTATCTATCATCTATCTATCATCTATCTATCATCATCATCTATATCTATCTATCATCTATATACAGATTATATATATGTCTGTGTGTGTGTGTGTGTGTGTGTGCTCTTTGAGGCTCCTGCATCTGTGGTTTCGTATCGCTTGTTAATTTTGGAAAAAAAATGAGTTATTGTTGCTTTAATTTTTTAAAAAGATTTTTTATATTGATTTTTAGAGAGAGAGGAAGGGATAGGGAGAGAGAGAGAAACATCAGTAAGAGAGTGGAACATTGATCGGCTGCCTCCTGCATGCCCCCCACCAGGGATCAAGCTGGCAACCAGGGCAGGTGCCCTGACAGAGAATCTTACTGGCAACCCTTCAGTGCATGGGATCATGCCCATTCAACTGAGCCACACTAGCCAGGGAGAGTCATTGTTACTTTAAATATTTTTTTCTGTTACATATCCTCATTCTTTTTCTTCTGGTATCCCCATCACATGTTGTATTGTACACTTTTTGTAATTGCCACACAGTTCTTGGATATTCTATTCTGTTTGTTGTTGTTGTTGTTTTCATCCTTTTTTGCTTTGTTTTTCAATTTGGGAGGTTTTTATTGACATATGTTCAAGCTTACAAATTATTTCTTCAATTATGTTCAGTGTACTGATGAGCACATCAAAAGCATGCTTCATTTTGTTGGACAATTTTTGATTTCCAAAATTTTCTTTTGATTCTTTGAATTTCCGCCTTTAAATTTCCCACCTCTTCTTGTACATTTTCTAGTTTTTTCGTTCTATTGGTATATTAATTATAGTTATTTAAAATTCTAGGTCTGATAATCTTAGATAACTACTCTAACTTTGGTTCCAATGACTGTTTTATCTCTTCAGAGTGTGATTTTTTTGCCTTTTCCATAACTTTTATTTTATTTTATTCTATTTTTGTTTAAAGCCAGAAATAATGTAGTGAGGAAAGGTAACTGAAGTATACAGACCTTTAGTGTCAGGTTTTATGTTTATCTGGCTGAGACTGGTCTATGTTTCCTGTTTACTGTAGCTGTTGTATTAGTAACTGTAATTTCCTCCCCCAACCACTGTTGTCTTTCATTTTCCATAGAGAATCCTATTAAATAGAGCCTAAGGCTTTCAGTTTTAATTCATTGTGTTATTATACAGAGTCATATTGTGATGATGGTAAAATGTGTAGGGAGGATAAGCATTCTATAATTTTATGATTAATCTCAGTCTCTTAGAGAGCCTGTGTCCTTGGGCTGTAACTTTCACAAGTGCTATTCAGCTTTTTTCCTTCTTAGGTGGACAGGAAGGTCAGAGAGGGCTAGAGTTGAGTGATTCACTTTCCACATGTGGAAGGCTAAAGGGGTTGGAGCTGTGTATCTCCCTTCTCTCACGTCAACTGCTACAGGATTCTGGGGTTTAGTATATCCCTTCCCCCAGGTCAGCTAGGCTCTGGTAACACCAAGTAGTTTAGCTCTGATAAAATAGTTTCCTTTGAGGGCAAGCCTTTATTAAGTAGGATACAACACACTGGGAATATTTTGATATGGTTACTTTTCCTCTCCCTCTGCCAGAATCATAAGGGTAATTTTCTCAGGTCTGTACTCTGAAAACCTGATGGGGCTCCTGGAAATAAAATTCATGAAAGTGTTGGGACTCCCTAAGTACCTCTCAAACTATTTCCACACTGAGTCTCCAGCAACTATTCAATTACTCTTTAAATGCTTCTACTATGTCCAGCTGTTGCTCTTGCTCCCTATATGCTGTGATTCTCTGTATCTGCCTATCTTTCCGGTTTGGGACATAACTGTGACTTCAGATGAACTCAAACTGAGATAGATCTAAAAGAGTTGTTGATTCCTCTTTTTTCTTGTTATGAAGACAGGAGTGACAACTTCTAACCTCTACATGTCAAACCAGAAACCAGAAGCCCTCTAAGTTTTCCTCCTTTATGATATGCCTACCTTAGTCAGTCCACTAGTCCTTTTTTGACTTCTCATAATATAATATTTATAACTTTCCTAGCATTAATTTTGTTTGCCTTTGCTTAACTAACTTTCCATTTTTATGAGATATTTCACTCTTGAGATTATAACTTCTTTATAGTAAGACACCATAACTTATTCTGTATGCTTAATAACTGGTAAATTTCATAAGATTTGGGACATGATATTAAAATATCTCAAAATTCCTTTGTTGTCTTAATCCTAGGGTTTAGTGAGAGAACAAAAATCTTAAGGGAAAAAAGAATGGACCCCTTCTCTCAGATTTCCTGTTTGTAGGAAAAGTAGGATTTTTGTCAAGCAATATATATAAGACCCATTTTCTTACAGAAAGAATTCTGTCTTTGAAGTTCCTAAAAACATAATCTAAAGCAGAATTTCTATACATAAGCAGTAGTTTGGTTACTGAGTAATAATGATAGTTATAATCATACAGTACTTTACTATATGCAAGTCACTGCTAACAGCACTTCCTTTATTATTGTTAGCCTCATAATAAACTTAACGAGTGGGTATATTTTTATTCCTATTTTGCAATTGTGGACAATAAGAGTTGGGAAAGTTAGGTGACTTTTCCAACTTTTCCAAAGTAAAAAAAGTGATTTGGAATTCAAAAGATGTGGAATTTAAAACCAACTTTACATGAATATAGCCAACATTCTTAACCACTCTGCTACACAATCTCCCATGTACCTTTATTCTGCTACCTGACTTTTCAATCTATCTCAACTCTATAAACCCTACACTTTGACTGGGTTCAGAATCCAGAGTGCTCACATGGCACTACAAAATCACTGCTAAACTCTCTCCTTTTTCAAATAAATCCCTCTTTATCTACCTTTCTGACTTAAAATTTAAAAACCCTATTTAAGAGAAATAGACTAGCCCTGCTGGCCCAAGATTTCCAATAGTCCTTGTATGATATTTTTCTCAATGCACCAAGTTTTGGAAGGATAGTATACATACTATTGGTCAGCAGGTGGTTCTGCTGCAGTGGATTGAGGGTAGGAGCACCCCCAAGGCCTGGCTGACCAGCCAGGGCTGCATGAGTAATTCCATGTTGGGGGCCAGGAGCAGCAAGAGGAGACACCATCTTATCCTTATCCCAGGAGGATTCACTTCCACCTGAAAAACATTCATATGAACAGATTGTAATTTGACAACATTCCATGAGAAGGCTTATTAAAAATTCCTTTTTAGAGTTATAATTATTAATATTACTTTAAAAAATATTATTGAACACAGGTAAGTCATTTATGATAGTTTTAAAAACTTTCAATAGTCTTGGATTTAAGCTGCTTCTGAAAAGACTAAACAACTCTCAGTAATAATATAGGCCCACTTGCCTTACAGGTAGTTTAAACAAATCTGGAATAATAACGAATAGCTTTTAAAGTCACTTATCTGTTGAAGGCTATTAACTGAACACTACTGCCTTCAACCCTCTGAAGTACATGTGCTATATTTTAATGAAGAGTAGTTGCTGTTCACTCAAAAAGAACACACTTATTTATAAGAGCAAGATAACATGAAAAATATCTAAGAAACAAAAAGATCAGTTATTTTATTCTCAGATCCAGCCCTCAAAAAGCTAATCTCTTCATACACATCAGGCTTTTTTACAGAATAAGGTGGATAAAATATAAAACTATGTCCCCCAATTTGAAATTGTACTTCTTTTCTCATCCATGCTAGAGAATGAAGTAATGTGTGCATAAATGCAGGCTACTATATTATCGCAGTGATCTACAGTGGTATAGCTATTTCATCTGGCACTTTGCATACTGTGGGGACAGAACCATTGCTTAAAACCATGTAGGAAACAATTACAGAATTAGTTCCCGTCAACACTTTTAAGGAAAATACTTTAAACAGAGGGGTATGGGGTTGAATTCCAGTCACTTCAGTTGTAGTTTGGCTTTAGAAAACAAAATGGTTGTGTGGACAGCTCTATCTATATGCTTGATGTGGCTCATTTACCCTGGGGTCAGCTCTCATGCCATGCTAGGATTGTGACATTAATATATCCACCTGATTGACTCTATCCCATATGCTGCCTAAAACATTCACCCTGTTTTGTGGCAGGGTTTAAGCCTGAGAATCTTGGGCACTCTGTAAAATATGTGCATTTACTGGGGGAGGAAAAAATAGGTGAAATCAACATGCTCATATTCCTAACATTCAACATTTAATTATTTTCACTTCTTTGAGTTTCCTTACAGGCTTTGTTCCTGGAGATACCCATTTTAATATTGTAAACACTCTGCCATGTTGTTTCAGGTATCATATTTACTATGTGTAATGGCTACATAGTAGTCTACTGAGTTTAATATACTAAAATTTATTAAACATCGGACTTTGAGTTTGTTTCAAGTTTTTCACTATTATAAATTACAAGTCAATTAATTCCTTCAAGTGATATTTCTTAGACAAAAAGATTGAACATTTTTATACTTTTCCTTTCAAGTGCCACATTTACACAGTTTTTAAAGTTGAAGACTTTTTAAGGAAATATTTCAAGGCCAATTGGTATTCTTCCTGGATTTAAAATTTATTTAAGCAAAATACCTCCTAGAATCCCTGCCAGATTTTTTTTAACCTTCATACCCATTCATTGACTCCTACCCAACTCTGGGAATCTACTTCTTCTTGAGGACTCTTTCAAACCCCCTTGTGTCAAAGTCAATCTCTAATCCAAAAATGGGGATCTTGGCCAATCTCCAACTAGGTGAGTTCCAGACAAGGAAACACCAGATTTTCCCGCAACATATGTAAAGGCTGAGGGGTACTTGTCCCTGCTTACATCGACAAAGATTTTCCAATCAAATGGGGAAGAAATAAGTAGCTAAATGTTCAGTTCCTGCTATAAGCTATTCAGTGTCCATGCATTGAAGCATAGAAGGTAGGAAATTTGGTTAAATTTGATATACTGGCTTAATGGACCAGAAATCTTTACCTTACTCTTGCTGAGGTTTGGTGTGTTCATTGAAAACATGCAACACCCTATGATTACATCAATTGTTCTCTCTTTTTATCCAGATGTTTGCTGTTGTATAGTAATTGCCTAAGAGCAGGGAGGTAATTTATGGTTGGTGCATTGACATAAATTAGCATTCACAAATTTGAAATTCTAATTAAAATCAATAAGACATTGTTATGCTGTAATGAACAGGAATGGTGAGGGGAAGGAGAATATTTTAATAAATGATTAAAGTAACCGCATTGCAACACTGAGAATTCTTTATAGTAACATTGGGCCAATAAACTTGATTATTATCAGAAAATGCAAAGATTTAAAAGGGCAATTGTTGAGCAAAATGGAATCACTCCATCATTTAGCACTATGTTCTAGATATGAATTGCTTTACCGTTACAGAACTGTAATTTGTAAAATTACAAGTAAAACATTAACAAAGACAGATACATTTGGAAAATACTAAATTATACCATGAATGTTAAAATGGTATTTAACCATCACAGCAGCAACAGCATACAGCAATACTAAGGCTGAGACTATGTCAATGTTTATCTTATAAATTAAGAATCATTCAGTCCACATTCAATATTAAATGGTAGTTTCTGTATTAGTCTAATGTTTTATAATCATCTATTACAAATAAACTGGAATAGAAATGTTTTTTAAAAATCATTAAAGGATTCCAAGGTGTTTTTGTGTGTGCTTTAATAAAAGCTTTAGATTAACTATTCTGAACTCTCATCTTTTTAACTACTGTGTTAAAAATGATAGAAGGAGGGTAGTTACAGGCTTTTCCCATTTCCACTGAGTATTCACATAAGAAATCATCCTATACTCTGAAGGCAACTGAAGAATGTGGGATATCCTTGATATTTGCATTACAATACATTAAATTGCTGGACACATTTTTGTCTTTTGACTTAAAATTGTTATCAGTTTTAAGTTTATGCAAACCGACTTATCACTTAGTTTGGAAGTTTCCCTACCACCAAATTGTGCATAGCCCTGTGCTCCTTTGCCAATTTATAATAACATGCATTGCTCTTAAATCTATCAAAATATTTTTTAAAAATATTTTTACGAATCTAGTGTCAATCTTTTTTCTTTACCACTATCTTAAAGGCTTGGGTGTCCACTGTCTTTTTCTGATCTAGGTATCTGTCTATCTACCTATCTATTTATCTGTCTATCACCTATCTCTAGATGTGTTAGTTTGCTAAGACTGTAATAACAAAATACCATATACTATGGACTAAATGTTTGTGTCCTCCCAAATTCATAGGTTAAATCTTCATCCCTGATGTGATAGTATTTGGAGGTGGGGCATTTTAAAGTTGATTAGGCCATGAATGGGTAAGTGCCTTTATAAAAAAACACACAAAGAGCTCTTGAGCCCCTTCTGCCATATGAGGACACAGAAAAAACAACAACAAAAAACCACATGGCTGTCTATGAACTAGGAAGGGGGCCCTCACCAGGCAATGAATCTGTCAGCACCTTGATCTTGGGTTTCTAGCCTCCAGAACGGTAAGAAATAAATTTATATTTTTTTATCAGCCACCTAGTCTATGGTTTTTTGGGTTTTTTTTTTTGCAGCCCAAATGGACTAGGACAACACAGAGTGGGTAGCTTAAATAACAAAACTTTATTTTCTCACAGTTCTAGAGTTTAGACTTCCAAGATCAAGGTGGCAACAGGTTAGGTTTCTCCTGAGGCCATTCTTCTTGGCTTGCTTATAGCCACCTTCTCCCTGTATACTTACATGGTCTTTGATCTGTGTGTGCACATTCCTTGTGTCCATTTGCAAGTCCAAATTTCAACTTCTTATAAGGACACCAGTCAGATTGGAATAGGGACCCTTTTTATGGCCTCATTTTAACTTAAACACCTCTTTAAAGATGGTATATTCAAATATGATCACATTCTGAGGTACTGAGGGTTAGGGCTTTAACATATGAATTTTGGGGGGAAACAATTTAGCCCATACCACTGGAGTATGCACCCTTTACTGAACCAGATTATACTAGCTTTGTGAGGGAATCCCTCTAGTAAAGCACAAAAAACTGTACAGCATTTCAGCAAGGCATATCTAGGAAACCAAGTAAGAAGTGGATTAAGAAAAATAGAGAAACCTCAACAAAGTCTTCATCTTTACTTCAAGAAACTTCGTATTAGCTATAAATCTAACCCAATACAGTTCTAAGTAGAGAAACATAATGTAAAAATTGCAGCAAATTCTAAGGAATTGAATGATTTCAGCTTTTCCATATCAACAACTCATCACTAATTTGCTCAATGTTTAGTAAAACTAAAGCTATGAAATAAACAGTATAGAGACTGTCACTACATCAATTCTACAGATAATTAATTAATTTAATCTCAACTTTTCCAATGAGAAAACTAGAGAGAACTACATTTTTATAAGCCACCACCTAATAGAAATATATATTCCTAATTAAAGTCAGAGTCAGAATAATGAAGTAATGAACTATGGGGAAATATTAATTTGACAATACATTTGCTAAACAGCTATTGTCTTAATTAAAAACTCTTAACTTTGCAATTTTAATATTTTTCCTTTAAAACCCATTGTAAAATACTAAGGTTCTCAGAGGATTGTTTATGTTTGCTGATTTTTCTTTGTGGGAGACATGGCCAGAGGGCAAAGAATTCTGAATCATGGGGTGCTTACAATAGGCACACAGAATTTCAGAGATGGAAAGGATCTTTATATTCATTTACTTAAAATAATAT